TCTGCATGATTCATTCTCTTTCAGAAAAGCAAAGCATTAGTGACGCAATTATACAACAAAATGTTTTGTGTATTAGTTAATTAAACATACACACTTGCATTCCTCATCTCATTGGAAGTAAATAACTTTAAGTAACTTTATTTATATGGCGCATTTCACAGACCAAGGTCACACCAAGTGCTTTCAATTTTTTGTTGTACCAGTAATTTCTCACCGCACATAATGATGACAGGAGCAAGTCATACCTACAGTATTGTAGATGTTTTTATTAGATGGGGAAACCAAAGCACCTTGAGAAAATCTACGCAGACACTGGGAGAATATGCAAGCTTATCATAGACAGGTGGTAGAACATTGACCGTATACTAGGTTTGTCCTGACTGAATGATGATGTCACCACAGTGTCATTAATGCGGAGGAAGCCGATTTGAACATTAGATAGCTGGAGCCAATTTCCTTATATGGGCATGTTTTCCCCCCGTAAATGAAGGTATCTTATTGGTCAAACCTTATATGGCTCATATCCCAGATTTATTAAGTCAATATCAAAATTTAAAAACCTCAGGATCACAGAGAGCGCGAAACCATAGATTATTTAAACCCAAAATGGTGAGTGACACAAACGGTTACTGAACTAGAGGAATTCACTTTTCAATATAAGTTAGTAGGAGCCAGAAGGAGTTGAGGAGGATTAAATTAACTTTGTCCATTCCCTATTGGGCTTCATTGAGCTGGCGATTTAGCACTGTCTATCCATCTATCCACCATCCATCTATATACAGTCTCTTTGCTGTGCAGTAAAAGTGCTAACCACTGTGCCACCAGTGATCTTGAACTAATAATGATTCATTCAGAAATACAAAGGGTTGGGGTTAGGGTTATACAGTTTTTTTCTGATATCGGTGGATTTGATCAAATTTTCCTATGGTCCACTACAATAATACTAATAATTACAGTTATCAAGCGCAATAGCCCCACTATTGCGCTTGGTTGCGGTGTATTCAGTTACAATGTTGGATACCTTACGGCTCAAAAGGCAAAGGGCAGAAAGGGAAGAATCTCGAGCCAAACAAACAATCATAAAACTGCTTTGTTGATTGGAATACAGGGCAATAATAACTACTGTACACCAGACCAATGGACGGTAGCTTCACAGTGCATAACAGAGTAGCCTGAGGAAAAATGAAATATAATTATTTTCTTTTGTGCGCAACAATCTGCAACAAAGCCTTGCAGCCTCTAATGTATGAAGGAAAAATAACAACAATCAACATAGTCATGTAGAGATCCACTCTGGCCTTGCCTTTCCAATGGCACTATGTAATAAACAAGAAAAGTCTTTAGGTGACACTTGCAATGCTTCGTAAACATAAAAAGCCCACGAGATATTTTCCGACCTGGATCAGCCACAACCCGAAGCGTCAGCCGGGCTACTCATTGGAATGAAATTTCTTCGGATTGGCATTTTCGCGCCAGCAAAGTGGCATGAAAATCCGTGGCAGGAAGCAGAGAGAAATATATGTATAATATATATTTTCTGAAAGTTCACTCCCAGCCATCGCTTTGCAGCTCTTACAGGGCCAACAAGCCAATTGGAAGCAATATGTTAAATCATTAATTTCTTGCGTCTTCTAATCTTCTAACCCGCGGAGAGCTCGCCTTGCACATGAACAGTCTCCATGCAAAGGAAACCAATGTGATTTATGTATCCAACAACTCAGTTTAACAGATTGTATTCAGAGATAATTGAAGAAGCTGTTTGGCAAAGGTTGAAAAATGTTGTCGTGAGAAGAGAGGGAAAATATTGGATTTGTTATTGTGCAGACTAAACTGTTTGATAAAAGGCGCAATGTACTTTGGTCCGCTATTGTAATAAAAAACAAACTGTAGATTTGAATCAATAAGACTAATTGGAGTTAAGAAGAGGTTATCAACACTTTAGAAAGTAATAGGAAAATATATATTACATTGTCGTAAAGTTAATTGGGAGACAATTTTTGTGGCTCCCAAAATGATTTTTTATTTTTACGATTAACTTGCTTGCATTGAGGTGAAGAGGTTGCTATGGACTACCATCTCATGTTTTAGGTATCATTCCAAGTAATTTGATAAAGAATCAGAATCAGAAGGATTATTATTGCCACGTAAGTAACAGGAAGTCACAGACTTGGAAATTGCTTTGGCTCTGTGCAACAGTCAGAAAAAAGAGAATAGAGTAAGGCATAATAAATCAGCATACACTTCTAAGGAATACAATTTAAAATAGGATAATTACGGTTATTATGAACAATATGCAATTACACATGGTGCACACAATATGCGCAGTAGGCAGTGCGATAAGGCGACAGCAGTAGAGTGACTTTATGATGGGCAGTGAAGTGACTTAATAGGGGACAGTAAGGTGACTTAAAGGGGCAGGGGGACAGGTTATGAAGAGTTCAAGAGTCCAACGGCATAGGGAAGAAAATGTTCTTATGGCGGGAGTTTTTGGTTCTGATGGAATGTAGCCTCCTGCCTGAGGGGAGTGGTTGGAATAGTCCATGTGCAGGGTGAGAGGGGTCGGCTGTGATACGACCAGCCCGGCCTCGAGCTCGGGCGACGTACAGGTCCTGCAGCGATGGAAGGCTGCGGCCGATCACTTCCTCTGCAGAGCGCACGATGCGCTGTAGTCTCTGTTTGTCCCTGACTGTGGCTCCGGCGAACCACACAGTGATGGACGAGGTGAGGATGGACTCGATGATGGCCGTGTAGAACTGCACCAACATCTGTGCAGGCAGCTTGGCTTTCCTGGGCTGCCGCAGGAAGTACATCCTCTGCTGGGCCTTCTTGATGAGGGAGCTGATGGTCGGCTCCCACTTGAGGTCCTGGGTGATTGTGGTGCCCAGGAAACGGAAGGACTCCACAGAAGTGATGGAGGAGTCCATCAGGGAGGGCGGGGGCGGGGGGACTGTGCTCTTCCTTAAGTCCACAATCATCTCCACTGTCTTCTGGGCGTTCAGCTCCAGGTTGTTACCACTGCACCAGGACACCAGCCGGTCCACCTCCCTCCCGCGGACTCATCGTTGTTGGAGATGAGTCCGATGAGGGTGGTGTCGTCCGCAAACTTGAAGAGCTTCACGGAGTCGTGGCTGGAGGTGCAGTGGTTGGTGTACAGGGAGAAGAGTAGGGGAGAGAGAACACAGCCCTGTGGGGTTCCTGTATTTATAATCCTAGAGTCCGAGACATTCTTCCCCAGACGCACTCGCTGCTTCCTGTCTGTCAGGAAGTCAGTGATCCACCTACAGGTGGAATCGGGCACGTTGAGCTGGGAGAGCTTGCATCCTACTTTTAAAAAAATTTAACACACTGAACCCAAAACTCTATTAGTAATAGTTACGTTTTCATAGAATACATCCATCCAGACTTCAATTTTCTTCCGCTTTATCCGTTGCCGAGTTTTGGGGCAACAGCTCTGAGCAGAGACACCCAGACTTCCCTATGCATACACTTCCTCCAACTCATCTGAGGGAATCCCGAGGCGTTCCTGGGACAGCTAAGAGACATTGTCCCTCCAACGTGTCCTGGGTCTTCCTTGGGGTTTCCTCCCACAATACTCGCTTACTAGAAAAAATGTTAACCCTCTAGGCGCCACGGTCGACTTAAGTCGACAAGCTGCGGTACTGTTAAAAACGGCCGAGTGTGACCAACTGAGTGTCAAAATTCATTCATACTCCCTGCCACTAGTTGGCAGACATGTCAGACGACCTCCCTGGCCCCAAAAAACTTCATGCTCTCATACAAAATATTCGAGCAAGACCGCGTTGAACCAGTGCGGAAATCATAGCGAAGCAAATGCAGCTGCGGGGCAGCCTGCGAGTGTTATAGCGCACCAAACACTAACTTTAGACACTTTGCACAGTGTCAGCAGTGGGAACAGTGTTTCTTAGAGTAAGGCCAGTCATTGGGAGGTTCGGAGACAGGTTAGATTTGCGGAAAACAAGCCTGGAACTCGCGTCGGGGCACTGCGCCGCGACCTCCAGCCTCCGCTGAAGTTTCCGCCAAAGTCTCCGCTAAAAGTGCTTCCCACATATTTATTTTCAAGCCTCACGTAATCACCGGGACAGTAATGTGTTGGAGAAGCTTTGTCTTGTGTGTGTTAGACGAGAGAGTGGGGGAGACATCTGCAGCAGCAGGGTCGCGGTGACGCGCTTCATGTGGAGGCGCGCGTCTGGGCAGACTGCTCACAGCAGCACCATGATTTATATTTTTTTACTATTTTCATGAACATTTACAATGTTACAGTGTGTGCTCTGTGTGTGTTCATGTTCTAGTGATAAATATATGTCTGTCAGTTAGAAAAGTACAGATATTGTATGAAAATTCTAAAATCCACTATTTCTAACGCCAAATGACGTCATAATATGAAAATTAGATGGGGGGATTTATTCTCTACATACACTTTGGACCATCCTTTATATTTTTTTAATTTACAGAAAGCCTTTATCTCTTATCACTTTTAAGTTATAGCCTTTTGAAATTAAGATGTCAAAATTGAGCGTTTTGGAAAAAAACCTCTGGCGCTTAAAGGGTTAACTGCAGCCCTATAGTATCCTGATGATTCAATGTTTGGCACAAGCATTACTCCTGTATGTAATTCCTATATCTAAAGCCATTTAATCATAAGGTCATATATTTACCAAAAATTTTATTAGTCCGCTAATCATTATATTTCATTTGCACAATTTTTGGTATGAAAACAGAAAAAAATTAAAAAAGATAAGGCTGGATTTCAATATTATTATAGTATTTGGCTAATTTGTCATTTTTTTTATTCATTCAATCCATGATTTTGAGGAGTTAGGGTCAGATTAGTAATATTTTGATAGGCCCCATTTTTTGCAGTCTAATCAATCAAAAGGAACCAATAACTTCTTTGATCGACTACAACTAGAATCACACTTAAATCTAGCGATAACTGTGTAACCCCTTTTACTTCTTGTGTTTCTTTTAGATACACCAAGATGAAGACTGCAACCAACATCTACATTTTCAACCTGGCTTTGGCGGATGCCTTGGCCACCAGCACGCTGCCTTTCCAGAGCGCCAACTACCTGATGAGCACCTGGGCGTTCGGAGAAATCCTCTGCAAACTCATCATCGCCATCGACTACTACAACATGTTCACCAGTATCTTCACCCTGACCATGATGAGTGTGGACCGCTACATCGCCGTGTGCCACCCGGTGAGGGCGCTGGAGTTCCGGACGCCGGTCAAGGCCAAAATGATCAACGTGCTCATATGGGTTTTGTCGTCAGCCATCGGCGTGCCTATAATGGTGATGGCCGTGACCAAGACAGACAGCAATGGTAAGGTTTTTTTTTTCATTCATTTATCAAAAAGTTGCATTCCTCTGGTTAAAATCTTCAATTTATTATATTATTGGCAGTACATTTGGAAAAATTTGCTCAAGAAGGGGTTAAAACTTTTTTTGTATGTCACTAGGATATATCTGGCTTTTCAGAAACATTACTTTGTAAAGGGAAAACGTTTTGAGGGTTTTTTTCAAGAGTTTTGAATACTAATGGCAAATGAACTATTCACATGTACAAATTTGGTTGAGGAGCCTTTATAGTGGAGTTTGTATGTTCTCCCTGTGTCTGCTCCGGTTTCCTCCAGGTGCTCCGGTTTCCCCTACCACTAAAAACTTTTACAATAGTCCCCTGTCCCCACTCCTGTCCCCTGTCTCTGGGCCTGAGACTTTACCTTGAAAAAAATATCTCAGTGGGACTTTTCTGCTTGAATAAATGTCAATTGTAAGATGGCCACTTTAATTAGGCAGACTAATCCAGGGGCCGACCACCTGGAGTCAGTGGTGGTTATAGCAGGGGAAACAAATAAGCTAATATAGTCTCAAGAGCCCACTTCACTGCGATTGACATAAAAATCAGGAGATCCCGCTATTCCATCAGTAGAGCAGTGTTTGAGTGTGTAAATTAAAAGAGAAATCAATTATAACATATTTAAATGGGGTGGAAATAATGGGTTAACAAAAATATAACGACAATCTGTTGGAGTTTTAATGTTATGTTGGTTAATAATCCAGTGTGACATTTTGCATTCAGACATCCTTGGGGCCCTCTTGTGAGCTTGGGGCCTATGCAGGTACTCAGTCCGCTTATTGAGTCGGACCGGCCCTGTCTGGATTTTTAATTCTGACAAGAATTGACTTGTTGGTGGATCAATTGTAGATTTCTTGGAGAACAATATGGACTTCATGTTCACACAACGTGCATGTTTTAGAGTGGGCTGCAAGGTGACCGGCAAATCTCACTAACCGAAAATGTAACAAACAATTACCTCAGTTGATTAATTATTAACTAATTGATTACTAATTACTAATTGATTACTAATTACTAATTGATTACTATTGACTGATTTAGATTTGTTGTTGACTAATTTAGTAATCCATGAATCATTTGTGTAACCTTATATAGACATGCTGAGAAGAGGTTTTGTAACTTCTATAACGACTGCAGAATGAAATTAAAATATATTTGTATGTGTAAAAAATAACTCTCCATGGGCGTCACTTGAGATTTGTTTTGGTCAATTGTATAAACAAATCCACTGATCTTTTCAACAACAAAATGATTAATGAAAATATTTTTTTTTAAATCAATTATTACAGCCAATATTACTTAATATTTGAAAAAGTGTTCAAAAAGTTATATTCCTTATAAATCTTAAACGTATTAAGTCATTGGCAGTGCATTTGGAAGAATTTGCTTAAGAAGGGTTGAAACTTTATTTTATTTTCATTAATTTTTTCTAAGATTGATCTGGCTTTTAGACTTGGCTAAGAGCTACATCCTCAAAAAGAAGGTGGAGAGTGACAATGCTGCAGTGTAGACTTAAATTCAAAGTTTGTGTAAAAGACATCCAAACGAGAGGTCTGAGGCACTCTGTTAGTAGATAAAATAAAAGTCCTTAATTGTCTCACTTGGAACGAGCCAACGCAAACACATTTCTATGCGTTCTTGTATCTACTATTTAACCTAGTGCTTCGGTTAAATTATTTGGTTCCTTTCTACCAGACAAATGTAGCAATTACAGTAGTGTATTTTTTGTGCAGTCATGTTACAACTGGGGCGACAGTAACTCAGTTGGTAGAGCACTGGTCTTTGGACCCAATGGTCATGGGTTCGAGCCCACCACGACCCATGTCAACCTGCTCCCACTAATGTCTGCTGTCGTTGTGTCCCTGGACAAGACACTTAAACCCATGTTGCCTGAAGCAGGCAGCTGACTCACCATACAGGAGGATCAGCGATGGACCATAATAACAAACTGTTAATGTCAGAAGTTAGCAATAGTGTTTTTTGTTGTTGCTGTATTTCAGTTATAATTACCCATTTTAGCACTTATTAAGAGAGAGATATAGTAAATACTGTATACATTACTTTATTTGAATAAATCTGGTGTAAACTTATTTGGAAGAATTTCGCAGAATGCTGTTGGATTGTATGGGAGCAGTCAAAAAGACTGGGAGTCCAAGTGTTAAAGGTAGAACCACTCACATTCAAAAAACAAACTACATACAGATTCAGGAAAAGTCATGAAGACCACACATGCGATGCGTAATTACACTGCTCTGGGAGTTTGAGTGTTAAACATGACTCAGGTTCTTTCAGAAACAATCAGCATATTTTGTCCAATGCTTGAGCTGGTGTCTTGATCTCACAAGTGCTGGGTCTGGAGCAGTCTTTGATCTGTCCTGGGCTTCACTGACAGCTTACGCAGCATCTCACACGGATCAGAGAGGAGCGCTTTGAATCATTACTTTGACCCTGACAGATCCTCCGCTGGCAGCCGTGCTTTTAAACACTTAAATCAGGAAAACGCCATGAAGTGATTCGCTTGTCATCACAACTAAAGGAAAAAGGCTTAATCATCTTTATTAGATTTTTCAGTTGCAACAGGGGTCCGTAACCTTTATTGTCAGGTTTCTGGCAAAAAAAATGGCCACAAAATGTTTGAATAATCGTATAAACTTGTTTTTAAACGTACCTATTTGAACCATTGAATTAAACAATGAAGAATTGTAAATGTTCTTGTAAAAGGGCGTATGGTGACATCTGTGGATCCTGTTGCCTTGTTATAATCCTGATGAACAGAAATAATATACAAATATTGAATTGGCTTAGTTGAGGCCAAAGAAGTTTTTATAAGGAGTGATCCATCCCTGTGTCACAACATAGTTCCCTATATCTGGAGTTGTTTTTAGTTTCGTACAAGCTCATACCAGAAGCTCAAACATACACCTTTTCGGTTCAAAGTTCTCTTTTGAAACTCTGTTTGCAATGTTGAACAGAACTGACTTTGACGTCAACGAGATACAGTACCGGTTTTCATCTTAAAACAAAAGTAATGCGTCAAAAATTGGCTTTGGGAATTAATCCATTTCTACAGTTTTTCATTCAAAAAACCAAAACATAATTTTCTACAGACACCAATAGCATTTCACACAGCATTTAATTTTGTTTTTTCTGGGTTTCAGACAGAATTGTAGATACATGAAAAAAACAACAACAAATAATGTCAACATTACAGTATGTTAAAGGGCAAATAAACAATGCATTATATTTGTAAACTAAAGTCACTATACTATACAATTCTTGTAAATGTTGGGGCAGGCGTGTTGCCAAGACGGTTGCTAAATCTAGATATGAGCCATATACGGATTGACCAAGGACCTTAACAAAATATATTGAATATAGGATCATAGAGAGTACTAAACCCAAAATTGTGAGTGTGACACAAACTATTACTGTACTAGAGAGGAAGTGAATAGCATCCAGTGCGAGTTGGAGATAAACTTCATCTATGAGCACTTTCTTGTTAGGCTTTGTTGAGTTATAGGGGGTGGGCATTGTTCATATTCTACGTATATCGTTTATGCGACTACTGAAATGAATAACAGAAAGATATGCAAGAAACATGTAAATGTTGGAATCATTTGTGGGGTGCCTGGTCGATGTTTAGAAACTGTCTTGGATTCAGGAACTCATGGAGGAAATCGGCTTTTTTGACGCCGGATGGGTTGACATTCATTCAGCGTGAGTGAACATGGATGTTTTTACAATGTTTACTGGTTCCATAGGTGTTCTTTCATGCTTGTTTGCCTAATCCTGTGTATTCACAGCATTGGCACAACAAGATACTGACGCTAATCCAGACCTGTGCAGACCTCTGATCCTTCTCGGCTCTTTTGTATTTGTATCATGATGGTGTAACAAATGTTTGAAGGATTTAAGCATTTGAATGAACAATCCAGAGGTTTCCTCTTTGTTGGTTCCTGTTAAGTCGGATCATAGTAACGTCATTCAAGAAGAAGGAGCAGGGAAAAACTGAGTTACCTGCAACTTATAGTTCAAACTAGTGATGGGTCCAGCAACACTGATACACCGGCGCATGTGCCGAGTTCGTTTAGCGAAACCTCGTATCGGCGCGCGTGTCGCTTTATGAAAAAGCCACGTGACCAATACAGCCGCAGTGTCGCTTGTCACCGACACGGCAAACTGTGTTTAAAAGGTTCCGCATCTGCAAGTGTCACCGGTATGAACCGCTCTCAGAAAAAGAAAATAACCCTTTCAAAAAGGAAAAGCATCCCATTTTACAGCATAAAAAAATGGAACCTGCCACTAAAAGAAAGTATTCTGCAGTGTGATACTGCAAATAACAGCAAATAAGGCAATGTTTGTATTTTACATTTCACGCTGTATCTACAATCCAGCTTTAGTTTGAAACGCAAAATCTAGTTAGGCATGGTGGATGAGTGGATAGCGCTCTCGCCTCGCGTTTGAGAGAACTGGGTACGAATCCCTGTCGAACCTCAAAAGTTTATGTTGACATCACAGTCTTGAAGAATAATTTTGAGACATTGAAGTGCAGAAAATGTCAAAGGTTTTTTCAAGTATACTTTAGTTGCCAGGGTTTACAGTGCACTTTGGACATGCTTATTGTTTTGAAAAAAAAAAAAAAAAAAAAAAAACATCACTCAATGACATTTTGCTTAATGAATACATTCACAACTATCACTTTAATTTTCACATAAAATAAAATAACACAGACAATGCAGTTACGTAATATTGTGTGCAGACAAGTATGTAAAGCTCATTGAATCAGTGAGTTGGATGCAATGATTTATCAGATCCACCAGGTGTCAGTATAGAGCAGCACAAGCAACACTGTTGCGGCACAGTATCAACACAGTTTGTTGGATGTGCCGAAACGATACGTGAGGTTTCATTTACCCATCACTAGTTCAAACTCTGATGCATTGGTTCAAAGGCAGCAGTTGTAGAGATGGTGAACTCTCCAAACAAAAATATATAAAAATGTTATTTTCTCCCTTCCAGGTCGAACCATGTGCATGCTGAAGTTCCCTGATCCCGACTGGTACTGGGACACCGTCACTAAGATCTGTGTCTTCATCTTCGCCTTCGTGGTCCCGGTTATGGTCATCACCATCTGCTACGGCCTCATGATCCTGCGCCTGCGAAGCGTCCGTCTGCTGTCAGGCTCAAAGGAGAAGGACCGCAACATGAGACGCATCACCCGCATGGTCCTGGTGATCGTTGCAGCCTTTATCATCTGTTGGACCCCCATCCATATCTTCATCATCGTCAAAACCATGGTGAAGATCGAGAAACGGAATCCCTTTGTGATCGCGAGCTGGCACCTCTGCATCGCTCTGGGTTACACCAACAGCAGCCTCAACCCGGTCCTGTACGCCTTCTTGGACGAGAATTTCAAACGCTGCTTCCGGGATTTCTGCCTTCCGTGCCGAACTCGCAGTGATGGGAATAGCCTGAGCAGAGCAAGGAACGCCACCAGGGAACCCGTGTCCGTCTGCGGCCCAACGGAAGCTGCGAAGAAGCCCGCATGACTAGGCCTGGACAGGGCCCACAGGGGTTCCAGATCTCGGAGGATCCAGCAAGATTTACAATCGGAAATTACGCAAATTTCAACGACAGAATTTTAGTAGAGTGTATAATAATGATAATGAGATCGAATTTAAGTGTTTCGAAGAAGAAAAGCATGTTTAAAGCCGGAGAAGGTCAAACAAATGGACAAAAGTTGCCAAATATTCAAAAGGACTGATTTCAGATTTAAATGGAACTCTTCAACTATAAGAGGATGGTGTTTTGTATTCGCAACCTCTGTTCATAATAGTTTACTTTTAAAGTATCGGAATCAGGGAAGAATCAGGGTTGACAAGGCATACATACAGTATAGCCACTATTCAACCGGCATTTTCTGATTAAAAAAAAAAAGCTTTTGAATCAAGAGACAGCTTCACTTTTAATATTAAATGAAAGGATTCATCAATCTCAAGAACTTAAGAAAGGCCGTTGTTCTGAAGAGGTTTCTTTCAAGACACAACAACAGTCATGACGCACAAAACTTTGATCTTCACACTTCTTTTCACAGGATTGCTGTATCTTGTATACCCCCAGGTCTGAGAGAAAAAAAGCGCCTTACACACTAAAACCTCTCCTTCTTTGCACCAACAGCAAATGATAAAGGACGATGTTGTCTCTCACCACACAAAGTTCAAACAAAGCCAGTGCAATGACATTTTCACATTGTCAGCTGAAGCGTGGAATCTCCCATGAAACAAAAGAAGGTAAACTTTAAGTCGGCATACAAGTGGTGAAATTGTCAGACATCGCAAAAGAAAATGGGATTTTGTGTCTTGTTTTTTCTGGCTTATTAAACATTGACAAGTGGATTTCCTAAGGTGGAACAACAAATGGCCGGAACGTCGGTACATGATTTAATAAATTCATGTTGAGATCCGGAGCGTACAAACATGGCATGGACCGCATTGACCCAATGGAAAAGAAACCTGTCCCACTCAATATCCATGGGAGTTTCATGATGAATTATTTATTTACTGTAATCACCTTCATGTGTGTGCAGAGAACGCCAAACAAGGATTGAATGGCTGATTACTTGAACTGGGGTACATAGCTGTTTTGTTTCATAAATTAAAAAAACAGACCACTTATTAGAAAACATTTGATCTTTTGCATACTTGTAAGAAAGACCCCTGTGAATCACTATTTGACTTTTTTGGTTGAGCAAGGCTAGTTCTTCCTTTTTCACTTTTCAGAGCCCAAAAATACTCACTCTAGAACCAAACTGTCTTAGAGCCAGGAACTAGTGACATGGATTATTTTTTTGTGCTTTGAAAGTGAGGTACCCCAGCTTTACATGATGTGACGAGACTCTCAAGCTGCAGGATTTGTTAAAGACCAAATACATGTGTTGATGTCAATTGAATCAAAGAGGGACATTCTGATCTCGACGAGTGCAGAAGGAAGAATACAAAATTGAAACTTTGAAGAAACGAAAGATGGGTTGTTTCCATGAATGTAAATTGTACAGTAAACAATATACAGCTTTTGCAAATATAAAGAAGATTAGCATTTTATAGATACAAATAATTCATAGTGTGCCTGTGTATTGACACAACCAAGGAACGCAGGGCGGTTCAAATGGATTCCAGTCTTGATTATTTGCTCTGATAGTTTCACAAAGGTTGTAAAAATAGATATTGACGAGTGCAGTGGTCCCTCGCTATATCGCGGTTCACCTTTTCGTGGCTTCCGCTGTTTCGCATATTTTGCATGTGAAATTTTTTTTGCATTTGTACAGCGTGGTTCTTATGTGATGCGTGCGTACTCCAACATGTACAACATAATTTAGTAATATTTGCTTGATCTGCGTACATTCACTAAAAACATGCACATTAGGTAAATCCTTCAGGTTTGGTAGTCCTGACCAAGGCGAGCATCAGCATCTGGAGATGGGTTTCCGGGCGCTGCTCTATGGCGACCACTCCTCCTGACGGAAGCCTTAGTGGCATCAGGATGGGTCAAATGCAGAGGATGAATTGCCCTACCGGGATTAATAAAGTGCACCTTTATCTTTATTTTAAGAACTGATGCTTTATTTTCTCATTCCAAGGGAGTCATTTCTTGTATCTTAAAAAAAAAGGATAATTTTGCTCATCCCATTGGCAAATTATTTCGTAAGGCATTGAAAATGTGCTCAAATTCAGATATACAGTATTTGCCATTTTTTTGACACGAGAGTTACCTTCATTTAAAGTCAGAAGCAAACGTCTGTGGCTTGATTTTTTTTTAGAGGACTATCACGTTCTTCTGTAGCCCTGATTCCTCCTCCACCTGCACCTTAGCAGCTCTATTTTACAGTGTATGCACGGCTTTTGACAGCTGCAGCAGCACTCAGACCTAGACCCAACTGGTTTGATTTCTCCACGATCACACTTCATCAGGAGTTCAGGTGGTTTGAAAAGTGTATAAAGTGTTTTGTGAGGGGTTTTACAGCCTTAACACGAACAGCTGCTACTGCTTGAATTTCGCTTATTGCAGGTTATTTTATGAACGTAACCCCCGCGATAACCGAGGGACCACTGAATACAAAATGTGTATGCTACGACCGCTGAGAACAAATAGTATTTATAATGTACTGTATAGTGTAGTGTCTTTGGATAGCTACTGTGAGTTATAGCTTCATATATAAATGCTGTGTTTGATTTTGAATTGCTAATTAGAAATAAGTTTTGTCTATATTAGGTTTTTTGGGGTTTTTTTCTTTTTGCAAGAACAAGGAAACAAATAATGTATGATGGGTATGTTTTGTACATAACAGTATTCAATTGATAAACATGGAAAGTGGAACCAGTCCACTAAAATGTGTAGTAGTATCTTTTATTTGATTTGTTGTTCTGGTTTGTAGTCTGCAAACACAACATGGATATAGCACATATGAAGGTAGAGGTTTTGTATTGTTATAAGATTTAAAGGATACATATTACGCTAAATTGACCTTATTTTTAGCATAAGTATGTTACAAGTTACAACATTGTTCTCTCATTATAAACAGATCTGGAGTTGTTTTAGATCAATCCATGCTTATATCAGAAACAAACATGTAACATTAGTTTCAAGTTTCAGGTATGTATCAGGTGAAATTACTTTAAATTTACATTTCCAAATTTGCAGTCACATTTGGAAATTCAATCCAGAGAAGCTATTTTTTAATATGTCTCCTTTAAAGGATGCAAGCATTTTCCATCCAAAAAGATTCAGAGGATACTGTTGGCTGCTTGTTGGAGTACCAAATGTGCTGCCCTTCCAAAGGCGCTTTCAATTATTTTGTTCAAAATAAATAAATAAATGAAAAAATGCTATGTTCTTTCGCTGCTAGTGAATCTTTGTACAAGAAAAGACAGGGACACACAAAGTCATCAGCTGAACATGCATTTTTAAAATTTAAATAGCAAAACATAACATGCAACAATATATATTATATTTTTTCCATTTAAAATACTGTTCGGACTGGATTGGAGTCAGCGAGCATCACGTCGGAAGATGGTGTTGCCCGAAGCACTGCAGGAGGATGGGGCAAATGCAGATGGCAAATGTATCTACAGGGTAAGATGATGGTACAAAAACACAATCATTATCAGCAGCAGTAGTAGGTACTTGGGTTTCCACAGAGCTCTGGTTTGAGGAGAGAATGACATGAAAATAAGAAGAACAGTTTAGCTCCACTGAGCTAGAGTCCCTAACTTAGCTTGTCCCAACAGAAAGAGTCCAGTATTTATAATTGAACAAATAAGACCACCGCGTGCTGCCTTAGAAAATACCGTATATTTTACACACTTACAGCTGAAACTGTTTTACATCCAGATTCAGTTCATTTGCCATTTGCAGTAAAACCCCATTTGCAGACGTCCCCAGTGTGCCCCAGTCAAGTACATAAATAAAACGGGAATAACAGCGCGTATATCGACAGCAACTGGCCGTCAAGTGTTTTTTCTGGCATAAACTGTAGAGAGCGCGCAATACGTCACATGATAACACTCTCAACACATGTTGTTGGAGCGCACACATCGGGTGATATCTCTGGATCTGAGTACAATAGTTGTATCCGGAGATCGACTGTTTATCTCCAGTTCAGCGCGCACATCGACCGATTTCGGCAACTGATCATCTCCATCATCTCCTCTCAGTTGCCAAAAGCCGCCTTGCAACTAGTCTCCAGTAACTCTGTCGATGTACGCTAGGCTTTAGAGCCAGGAACAAGTTTGGACAGCTCTTATGTTAGGTAAGTTAGGTACTCCAGCTTTAAGGTTCCTCTGTCTGGCTTTGCCTTTGTTGGTGTTTGCTGCAGAATTTTATGTTTTATGACACAGCTACTGACTTTAGTTACTTAAAAGAAGCTAATTATTGTGCTGTGTGTCCAGGTAAAACATTATTACTAAGTTACATTTACTTTAGCATTATAGTGTTCATCAATATACTTACTTTTTTATTTACACTGCCGTAGATCCATTGTATTGTTATGCTTAAGCGAGCATTTGCAATAGAGAATACATAACTATTCATAAGGGTTTGTCTGTACAGATAAATATTACAAGAAGAGATGTGTACAGTAGGCCAATAAAGTAATACTTTTGTAAATGTTGTGGAATAAAGGAAAACTGTATTTTGGCTTGTTTCTTTACTGTCCATATGTACAGTTTGAATTGTATGTGTTTGCATGTGACAGTGGCTCAGTTGGTAGAGCTTTGGCCTTTGAGCCTGAAGGTCGTGGTTTCTCCACTGACTCTGCTGCCATATACTGTCCTTGGGCTTAGCCTCACTTTGCCTGAAGCCTCTGCTGAAAGATCAAGGCTGCGCTGTCACTGACAGAGACCCCCCTAACCCAGAAATGGATCAATGGGTAGAAAATGGATGGATGGGTGTGTGCATGCCAGTTTTAATGGGATTAAAATGTTTAAAATTATAAAAATTATATATTCCCATTTTTATATATTACAAGAAATAACAGAATCAGACTGAAAACAGC